CCTCTTCTATAGAAGAGGTTCCACAAATCTACAGTGCCGTTTAGAACCGGTTCCAGCTCCCTCCCCCCGCCCGTCCACCCCTCATCAAGATGAAAAGCGAGCGGAGGAATCCTGGGAGTTGAAGTCCACAAGTCTTAAAGCTTTCAAGTTTGAACAACCCTGGGTTTTTTTTTCTAAAGGGTTAGGGGTGCAAGGGTCTTGCAACTTGACAGCTTTAAGACTTGCGTGCTTCAAATGCCAGAGTGTCTGAGCCAACATTTTGGTTGCTAAGCAACAGCATTGTTAAGTGAGTTTCACCACATTTTACAAGTTGACCATGCCCACCCAGTCACATGGCTGGTGAGCCACTCCCACCCGGTCACATGGCCAGTAAGCCACTCCCACAAAGCAGGCCACACCTACAGAAGAGGTTCTAAAAAATTTTGAAACCCACCACTGGGTGTTACCTAATCTATTATTATGGTTGGTCACACAGACAGACAGATGTGAAGACTGGATTTGATATTTTTGTCCTTAATAATATTATTATTTGATATTTAATGCCATGTTATTGCAACGGGGGGCATGGTGATGGTGGTTGAACCCATCTGCCCAAGGGCATTACTGAGACCCTATACTTGACCCCTTTCTTCCCTCTTTTGTAGGGTGACTCAGGTGGCCCCTTAGTGTGCGGGAAAAACGTCCAGGGCATCGTCTCCTTCAACGGGAAGAGATGCGGCGATCGGTGGTTCCCGGATGTCTATACCCGCATTGCCAATTACATCACCTGGACGCGTTTCGTACTGCAGACCTTTTGATTGGTGGTCTTGGGAGACTGGGGGTGGGTGGGTTTCTCTAAAAAAGCTGACCTCTTTTGTGGGAGAGGAGAAACAGATTTACTCAGCTTTGTCCATGTCTACAACTCCCCAAATTTCCAAGCCATACCCAGCCATATTGATGGGATGTTTTGGATGATGTATTCATCATCACACATCTGGAAAAATAGAAGGTTGATGTTTCACTGACAATTGGATAGATCTCCTCCTCCTCCTCCTCTTCTTCTCCTCCTCTTCCTCCCCTTCTCCTCCTTCCTCTTCTTCCTCCTCTTCTTCCTCTTCCTTCTCCTCTTCCTCCTTCCATGTCTTCCTCCTCCTCTTCCCATACATTTTATTATCACTCTCTTCTTCCTCTTCCTCCTTCTTCCATGTCTTCCTCCTCCTCCTTTTCTCATACATTTTATTATCACTCTCTTATTCTTATTCTTCTTCCTCCTCCCCTTCTTCCTTCTTCCATGTCTTCCTCTTCCTCTGCTTTTCATACATTTTATCACTCTCTTCTTCTTTTTCCTCCTCCTCCTCTTCCTTTTCTTCTTCCTCCTCCTCTTTTCATACATTTTAGTATCACTCTCTTCTTCTTCTTCTTCTTCTTCTTCTTCTTCTTCTTCTTCTTCTTCTTCTTCTTCTTCTTCTTCTTCTTCTTCTTCTTCTTCTTCTTC